GTAATTGTTAAAACAAATCCAAGGCCAGCTAATCCTTTGTGGTTGTTACTGTGCTCTGAACCATGGCCATTTGGGTTTACAGCCATGACGGAATGAAATGGATTCCTTCTTCAGCTCGTCCTTAGACTGACAACTCTAATTAGCTGTTAGCAGCCCAGGCACTGGGCAGCCGAGTGAGCAATCCTCACGCTGTAGCACTGAGGACAGAGCTGTATGCACAAACACAAACTCAGAGCAACGTAATCCCAGACAGAGCTGCTAGCTGAAAGCGTGTTGACAAACAGGAACAAAACTCCCAGCTCTTAACGAGGAGGGTTCTGTGTGTTGATAGAAAAACAGAAATAATGTATGCTTTCAGCTTAGTCACACAAACCTTGGTGTAACAAATTAGAAAGGAAACAAGGAGGATTTTGATTGAAGTGGGACCAGATGACAGAGTCAGGCTTTGTCCATTCATACTGGTGGGTTGAGGTAATGCCTGTGGCTGCAAATAATTTTCTTCTCACTAATGAAGGTGCCCAGGTTGGCAAACACTGAATTCATAGAAGGCAGAGTTTACCCATGACTTTGAATGCAGACACACCTTTTCCAGAAGAACCTCAGTTAATTCTTAAGATCACCCTGAGCATCCCAGAGCTCTGGTTATTACAAGAGGCCAGATTTCCCTCTCCTAGGAACAAGAGCTGTGGGATGTAGCACAATACTGAACATGAATGGAAGGACAGAAAAGCTCCAGCCGCTGTAAGAGTAGAAAAATTACCTCCTGCTCCCAATAAAGCTTCTGAACTGCATTCCTCAGCTTGAAGTAGAGTGTCAGACTAGGCTTCACTGATTAAAATCATAATTAAAAAAATACAACAGCTACTATTAATAAATTCACAAATTAAACCAGCCAAGTCTAAAATTCTTAGCAGATGGCTCCACACTCCAGCTCACATGGCCCAAGCAGCAAGATGGATAAAGCAGCTCAGTCACAGATATGAACCAGCAGTGGCCAGGGACAGTCTCATTTCTCTTAGACTCCCTTCACATAAGCAAGGAGAGCTGCAGGGAGCTCTGAGGAGCCAAAAGCCCCATCATAACCACTCTGAAGAACCATCTCCACGTCAGGAGCATTTCTCAAGAGCACTTTTAATAAAGTACTTAATATCCATGTTTATGTTTCAGAGCAGGTGGGATACCCGCATAGAGCACTGACATTGATTGAAACCATTTAGTGCATTTTCATTTCCAGTTGTGCGGGTCCAGTGATACGTCTTACTTATTGACAGAATCACTCCCTCCTCTCCTCCCTGTTCTTCTGTTTGCTACATAGATAACAGGGAGAACTGATGCTGACTATTGCCCACCTAATGTACAGCACTGCCAATAGGTTCAGGAGAATTTTAAAGAGAAATGAGTGAATAGCATGTGGGCTTGGATGGGAAAGCATATCCTTTTGCACCTGAATATTTCTTTAAGTAACAAGGGCAACAGATGCCCCCCCAGGATGTATTCTGGCTGCCTTTCAGATGGGGGCAGAGCCAGGTCTGCTTATCGTAGAATCATAGAACCATAAAGGTAGGAAAAGACCTCTAAGATCACCTGGTCCAGCCATAAACTCATCACTGTTATGCCCTCTAATCATGTACCTCGTGCCACTTTTAAATGTTTCTTGAATATCTCTGAGAATGGTGACTCCACCACCTCACTAGGCAGCCCGTTCCAATGCATTACCACTTTCTGAGAATAAATTTTTCCTAATATCCAACTAGAACCTATCCTGATGCAACTTAAGGCCATTGCCTCTCATCCTATCACTATCCTTGTCACTGGCCTTGTAGCCATGCCTATTGCTAGAACTACACATATCTCCTGAAGTCCTGTTAACTATGGGGGTGGATGCCCCTCCAAAGAGAATGTCAGGTTACTTTCCTGATTGCACCTAACGTTAACTGTGCTTTGAAGATGAAACACAACAATCCATCTGTTCCCCATCATAGAGTGCAAAACTCTACCTAAGGACAGTTAGTCTAACTCTTTGGAGACCAATCCCAGATGATTGTGGACTACTATTTTGGCTCTAGAGGGGGTCAAGTTCTCAGGCCATCTTATTCATTCTCTAGTGTTTTGTTCTGCCTAGACATCATCTGCAGTGCAACTCAAAAATGAGAAACAGCGTCATTGTTCAGACTGAACTACATAAATACTCCCTGAAGGAGATGTATCAAGGAATAGGTGTGATGAGGGCGGTAGGGCTGAGCTGGACTTTGACAAAGCTGTCCAGAAGTATGTAACATGAGGTCAGCGCTGACAAAGCATTAGGGCTGGCATGTAATCATGCAAGCAGAACAGTGTACTGGGATTGTAATTTGCACTATGCTATTATGTGAGACTCTAACAGAACAAATGTAATATCACCACAATAAGAGAAAGTTGTTGCAAAGACCAGCTCTTGGAATAGCTAGAGTTTTGCATTACTCCTGCTCTTTGCAATTTATGGAAATGCTATTTTGACCAGGCTTGCAGAATGCACAGATTTTTATTATTACTTTTTTTCTTTTACATTATGTACTTGCTAAATTTGCATCTAGGTAACATCCTTTTCACTGATCCACACAGAGACTTTCTTTCCTCTTTTCATACGTGTTGGCTCAAATTATACTTTCTAATCCAAAATGCACAGAGAGCTGTACATTTTCAAGTCCAGAGGGTGTTTTACAGCCTTATGCTGATCTCATCTACGCAGAGTGACCCAGACCTCAATTCAAACCCACCTCTGCAGAGGATTCATTTTTCTGCCAGGATTTTCTTGAGTACCTAATCCTAGAAAAAGGCTTGACAACAGCATTAACAATAGCGTTGATATTATTAACAACAGCATTCTGCCCTTCCATGACTATTTTTATTCCAAGATTTCAAAGTGCTATGTTTATTATGCCTCACAAATCCTTGAAGAGACAGAGCAGTTTTATTCCTGATTTAAAGAAATAGGAAAAGACGAGAAATTGTCACACTGAGTGGTAGCTAGATCCGCAGGAGTTCTGCAGAGCCCAGTCTCTCCCTCTAACCAGTATATAACATTTCTTGATCCTAACCACAGACCTATGAGGCTGCAAGGACTTTCATGAACTTATTAATCTTCCAACCCCCTACAGTTCATACCAAGAAGTCCAGGGAGCAGACTAGCCAGCCTGTCAGAGAGTTGATGATAGACAATTACTGCTCATAAGATAAAAGAACATCTTTTTCTGCTTGCAAAATGTAAAAAATAATAAGAACAATTTTTTGTGACAGCTGACTTGTTCTTTTTGTCTTCTTGCTCTCTTTTCCAATACTGCAGTGCAGTTGGCAAAGCCTATTTCTGGGCTGGCTTGCTACAATATGTAACTATATGCATGAGGGAGAGGGGAGAAAAGGAAAAGAAAAAAGAAACACAGAAACAGGTTCTGACATCTAATCAGATCTGCTGTATTGATTTTGCAACTTTAGCTTTGGAGCAAATCAGAGAAACAGCCACATTATCACTCAGAATTCGCTCTTCCCTTGAGCGAGCCGGTTCAAAAGGAGCTCACCCAGACACACAGAGAGGCACGTCTGCATGCACACACACACGCGCGGGCGGGCACACGCGGATCTGTGGATGCGTATCACCTAACCGGGCTCTCCGGTGGGAAGCACTCATCACGGAGGCTGCAGAAGCCACACGATCCCCATTTCCGATATGATGAGAATTCCAGAGCAAGCGACCGGACTAATGAGCTCCTCACACTGCAGAGCAACGTTTCAATTAACCACTGCGGCCCCGCCACCGCACCCACCTCCTTCCAGCTGCTCAAACAAGGACGAGAGGCATAAACAGGGACTGTGCTGTTTGCTGTTGGCTTTTTTCCCTCCCATTTTTTAAGGGGATATAAAAGCAATAGGGGCAATTCTTGCCCTACTTTCCTGTTTCACGGTTTGTTTATCATGCATGGACCATGCTCTTGTTACTTGGGCCAGATCACAACAAAACATTGTTTGGCTGCAGGAAAAGTTATAGGAAGAGTATGTTGAGTTACTCTTTATACAGAAGTTCAATTTTTTTCCCTCTTGTGGGTCAATCCCACTACAGGCCTTACCCTGCAACAACTTCAGGCTTCTGCCTACCATCTGTTGCATGGAGAATTGTGTCTATCCACTCCAACTCAAAACATACGGCTGTGATTCCCCTCCAAACTACCTATCAAGCCTGATCATCCCAGGCTGGGCAGTGCCTCTCCCTCTGCAGTGCCATACAGTGGGGACAGCATCACTTTCAAACACCAGCAAAGAACTGGAGACTCTAGCAGATCTGATTGTTCTTTGCTCCAGAGTGAGACTTTACTGTATCTCCATCCATTCTTGGGGTGAGGATCACTCTCCCTGCTGTGTCCTCCCATGCACCATATGCTGTCCCAGCTGCCTTCCAAAACAGCTTAAATCAAGGCACCCATAACCACCCTGCATGGAATCTTCTCCACACACGTCTACTTCATGAAAATCTGCACACATTTCCCCATCCCCATCCCATAATTCAATTGCTGACGTGCTCACAAATGGACAGACAGACTGTTTTTAAAGGGGAATCTTAGAATACTCCAATATGCCTGAAGAATATGGCACACTTTTGTTACTGCTGTGCTCCCAACAGCTTGCATCTGTCAGCAGTATGCCTGCTTGGCTTCAGCCAGGTTATCTGCTCCAGTCCTGCTTCTCCTTTCCCTGGAGAGTGAGCCAGGGAGGAGTGAGGCAGCACTCACCTTTATGCACAGATATACTGGTCAAAGCAAGGCTGGGAACACTGCCCATCACTGAAATCACTCAATACACCACATGCTAAGAATCAGTTTTCTGTTGCTTACACGCTCTGCGTGGAAACTGTTTGAAATTATGCTGTCCATGTGAGGGTCTGCCTGGTGCTGCTTTCCAGGCAAAATGGTTCAGGCTGGGGAAACTAAGATGCAGAAAGGGTTAATGAGGTAGAAATGCCATAACTGACATTCATTTGCTATCTTCTGAACAATTCTGACTTCACAACCTTTTTAATATGCCCTGAATGCACATTTTGCAAAGCAGCTGTTTTGCAATAGTCAACCGATAGGGGAATGGAAAAATATTGTATACAAACACAGACAACACCCTTCTCTTTCACTTGCAACACGCTGCCCATATAGTATTCTACCCTTGTTTTTGCAGCCAGGCCAATTAAATACAAACTGTTCAAAGGTCTTCAGATAAAAGAGACATGTCATCTCAGCCCAGTAAGAATGGCCAGCCCTGCCCGAAAGCAGCACTCGGTATGACAGAGATGCTTCGCCCACAGGCTTGCATTCACACAGGCGTTCAGACCAATATTCCGCTTATATGTTATACTCACACTGCACGTTGAGCTGCACCAGGGCTTCCCGTGGTCTGATGTTAAAGCCATTGTACCTGGCTGTCTGGCACTTATAGGTCCCGCTCATTTCTCGGCTGACGCTCTCCAGGCGCAGCTTCCCATCATATGTCTCCACCGTCATTGTCCCTGAAGGCATGGGGATTTCCTTATCTACTCGGGACCAGATGATGGGTGGCTTAGGCTTCCCTCGAACCTCACACTGCAGCTCAGCCCTGGAGCCCTCCCGGACGGTGATGGTAGACTGACCCTTGGGGACACTGATGGTTGGTGGCACTAAAAGGGAGATAAAAAGGGACTGGTTTTACACTTGGTTTCCAGTAAGCAAGAAACATTCCCAAGGTGCTTATGCCTGCATCACACCAGCAGCCTTGAACTCAACTTGACACTGATAGTATTACTGCAACCCCTACAAGAACACACTGCCCATGTAAACCATCTTACAGAGTCTGGAGCTGCATGGTACCAAGGAAGATCCCAGGTTCTCCAAAAATCTACCCCAGTGTCAATGGCAACTGCCAGCTCTCCTGGAACATTTTGCCAGCTCCCACCTCTTACTGCAAAAGCCTCTTTGATCTATTTCTCTATTTCTGGTCAGTAAATTTCCTAAATCGAACTGCAAACTTTTGACCAAGAAATAGAAGATGTCTGTGCAAAGGCATCTAGTCCTCTTATAGAGGTTAGACAGAAACAGAGATTTATAGGATTAGTGCTTAGTAAACCTCCAGCCTTGTCAGACACCCAGGACTTCCGTTTGCTGCTAAACCACAGTAAGGAGCCATCTCTGTTAAGTGTCTTTGTTTACTCTACTCTGAGATTCACAGCGTGCTAGAGATCTCTGGCTCACTCCAGAGAAAGGGGTCTCAGCAAATATCACTTCTGTGCATCACAAGCTCACACAGCAGAACTGCTGCTTAGCTGGAGCTAATAGCACTGCAATGCTCAAGGAAAACTCAGCTCTCAGACAGCAAACAAAACTGTTGACAAACTGCTCAAAAGAAGTCGAAGCTGAAGGGAGGAGAAGTTTTGGGGAAAGTTTGTTGTTCACATCACCACATTCACCAAAGGCCCAGGAAGGGAAAGCTCATGCTAAAACCCATGTAATTTGACATTTAATTTGTATTAGGCTTCTGAGTTAACTGTTCAACTGAAGTAAATATAGAATCATAGAATCATTTGAGTTGGAAGGGCAGCAATCGTTTTCTGAAAGCTCCTCTTTCAGCCCTTCCAGCTGACAATGGTGACACTTAGATTGACACTTCCATAACCACAAGGGCAATGTAATTCATTTCCATTTAAAGCAAAGTTTAGGACTGTGGAGGCTGTAACAAGCTGGCCTGACCAATATTAGCTCAATTCAGTTCCAGCAAGGAAGAGTGTGCTAAACTAATTGCACACATTACAGCCTACAGCTGCTTTAAAGCAGATTTAGGATGGCTCCAGCCCCATCTCCCTTAGCATTGACCTCCCAATGCAACAAGGAGGCCGCATTTTCAATTTGCAAGTCTCCCATGGACTGGGGAAACCTCATCACACCCTGTCCTGTGCAGTGCGATGGACGACAGCACTCTCAGCGCCAACAGTGCCAGCAGCCACTCACCTGGCGAGAGGTAATTTTCTCCATGGGGAAAAGCTGAAAATTGCATTTGGAGATTTTTTTAATTAAAACTGTCTCCTCAGAGCCACTCAGTGGAAGCAGCCACCTTGGCAAGCTCAGGCCTTTCTTGTTGGGAAACGTGGAACTGCCACTGCTGCTCTTCTGCACAGATCCTGCACTCAGAAGAAAACCCACCAAGATTTCATGCAGGAACCATGTGTTGGATGTGGTTTGGTTGCTGTTGGGCTCATGCTATATGGAGGGCTGCTCTAGCAAGGACAGCAGTGTTCACTCCCTCAGTTACAAAAGGGGCTTTGCTGGACCAAGCTGCTGAAGTGAGGCTTCAGAATGCCCCAGGATGACCTTCTCCACCAGCACCAGTGTGAGCGTATGGCTCTCACTCTCCACCAGCACAGAGCAGCTGCTGCAGACACCTCCTTTGGGAACCTGAGCCAACCCCTGTGCCAACAGACGCTGCCCAGCTTTTTGGCGGGATCATCCAGGGTCTTCCAGCTCTTTGCTGCCTCCCACCTTTTGTATCTTTAAACACAACTGCACTTTGCCATCCACTGCTCTTGGGCAAAAAGAATTACTCTCAGTGGCGGCGACCCCCACACAAGATCTACAGAACAAAGAGGTTGCTAGCAGAGAGGAAGCAGCAGCCAATGTGTCTTTCAGGTCCACGGCAAGGTGAGGGTTCAGTCTCCAGGCTGCTGGTGAATGTGAGTTAAGTCCCACTAGGAGCAGACTGGTCCCAACATTTCTGCTGAGACAGATTCCTGAATCAGCAGAAGCAGTACAACAATGCTTTTTGCTGGGGTGCTGAAGCAATACAGGTCCAGAAATGGCATTGGGACCAGCCCGAATAGTGGGTTCAGCACAACCAGAGACTGAGAATAAACTTCTTACGAAGGTTCTATGAGCAGCTGGCTGCCCTCGCCATATTACTTGCATTGTGCCATACTCTCAAGGTCCTGGAAAGACAGCAGGATGACATGGATGTGTTGGAGGGTAGATCTGGATCCACCAGCTTTTCCAGAAGCAAAGATGCAGCTCTGAGACTCTGAATTTTAGTCCCCAGGGAGACTCTCAAACTCACCTATATCTTAGGCTGTCCTCACCAAGCCATGGGGTGAGGTTTTGACCCTGATTTTAAAGTTGAGGGGCATTTATAACACATGGAGTCCTGCAGAGAGTGCCCAAGACAGATTGAAACTGCAATCTAGTAAACATTAAATCTTTTCACAGAATTTGCTATAACAGATGATACCAATCTTCTGATCATAGCTTTGAAAATATTCCTCATAAGCTATGCCAAAGAAAGCAAAGAACAGCTTTATTTTTTTCTTTTACTCCCGTCTAAGCAAAAGGACTTCTGAAATTTGGTGAAATACCATTTCCTCTTTCTTCCTGCACAATCTGGTGCCTTCTTTGAACAGTCTTACTCTGAAACTGTGGAATTGAGATGGAGGATGTGATATCCAGAAGGTCCCCAGAAGTCACAGAAAGGCTCACCTGTCTCTGAGGAGATGTTCACCTCCACGCTTAGGTCAGGAATGGGTGCTCCCTGGAAGGTGGCCACACACAGGTAGGTGCCGTAGTCACTAAATCTCAGGTCAATAATCTCCAAGCTGCAGGTCACAGGCGGGAGCTCAGGGTCATTCCTGGTGATGAGTAACCGGTCTGAGAACCTGGCTGGTTTCCCATTCTTGTACCAGGAGTAGATAACCTTCTCCTGGGGCACAGCATCCACGTGGCATGAGAGTTTCAAGTCCTGCCCTAACTGGATGGTCTCACTCTCTTTGATCACATCAGGGGTGATTTGGAACGTGGCATTCTTCATGGCTGGGATGAACACAAGTGCAAAACCATTTAGGGACAGCAAAGAGCCTCACATGGCACAAGACAACAGCCCTTTACTCCTTTGGAGGGCAGCATCTCTGTGCAATATATATGTCCCAAGACCTTCCCTAGCTAAGCTCCCACAAGAGATCCCCAAGGCCTCACACCTGGAAGACTGGGATCCCTGTCTAGCCCAGGACAGTGATGCAGCCTAGGATGAGGCTGTAAGCAGCCAAAGCACAGCTCTTGATCTGGGAGCGCTGAAGCTTGCACAATAGCTTCTTCAGAGTACTGATTTCTACTGAGCATCCCAGTCAACCCATAGTTGTACAATAACACTCAGGGGAAATGCAAATCTAACTCCTCCTCTGAGAAAAAGAGCAACTTACACCGCACCAGTAGGTTCACCGTCTTCTTTGCTGGGTTCCCCACGTTGTTTATGGCTGTGCAGTTGTAGTATCCTGAGTCCTCCACGCGGATCCTCCAGATGGTGAGGTTGCCTCCTTGCACAAAGCTGTTGGGAGGCAGCAGGCCGGGAGAATGAGACCAAAGCACCTCTGGCTGTGGGTCACCGCCTGTCAGAGAGCACTGCATAGTGATGTTGTCACCAGGGTTGACCACCAATGTTTCATTGACTGACAGTTTCAGAGCAGGTGGGGCTGGAAGAGGACAAAGAGGGACACTTCTAAGCTTGAAAAAGACCTGCCCGCTCACCTGTGAACAGCTTCATTCTTTCTAGGATTTCTTTCTGAAGTTAGCTGGTTTGAGAAAGGAGAGCTGTAGGGACCCGTTAATTCATTACAGATAAAAAGCATTACTGCTAACACACCTTTTTGAGTTAAAGCACCCTTCTCTTCTACGGTTAGAAAACTGCAAGCAGGGCCTCCAGACAACCCAGACCAGAGGCCATACTTAAAACACCCCACAGCCATTGCACAGAAAAGGGACACAGCTAAGTATAGTATTTTAAGATTGTTCACTGCAAGTTCTTTAGGCTTAGGACTCAGTTCAGGAGAAAAGCCTGACAAACTCTCCTTGCACAGATAGGAAAGATAATAAGACATAATTTGGCAATGAAAAATCCATGGTCTGGAAAACCAGACCACGAATAGCAACTTTGCACCCATCACACAAGTGTCAAATAGATTTCCCTATTGGCCTGCAGACTATAAACCAAGTCCTGGGATGCTCTTTCATGCACAGCTGAACAATTGGGAATGATTCAAAATGTCTAGACAACTTATCCTTTGAATAACCTACCACGTGGTTTGGCTTATTTTATTTCTGCACTCTTCTCACTACACCTCTCTCCCCAAACTGATCCCAAACTCCTCCCCTTGTATTCTCAGTTTCATTGTATCCTCCCTTTGCATTCTCTGCCTCATCCCAAGACAAGCTTTTTAAAGCCCTTGTCAGCATCACTGCTGGCTCCATCCAGACAGAGCTGAGAAAGTAGCAGTCCACAGCACAAAGGCTGGGAGTATGCTTTAAGTAACTGCCATAATAATGCAAAATAAGACATTGTTCCATATTCATGAAGCTTGATTTAACAGCATCATTATTTCAGCCTCCCTCTCCCTGGACCCTGTGTTAATGAGCTGTGCTGGGTTGGTGTTGGATCTCTGAATTACAGCTCGTACAAACAAGGCAAGGAGGAGTGCTCCCTTCTCAGCACCTGCACCATAATTTAGCAGTACAACTACTGCTATGCTGGAATACTGTGTTAGCACACCAAATCCAACGCCCTCTCCCTGGCCGTGGTATGTGCTTTTTGCACCAGATGTGGACAGCTATGCTTAAGGATGAGGGCTACTCCTCTGCCTCCTGCACTCCTGGCCATTTTGAAGCCTGTGGTTGGAGCCCTTGAATTTTGAGAGGCCACAGCCTGCACTCAGGACCTATGATTGCTTCCAGCATTCCAGGAGAGAAGCGCATGCCCAAAGGCTCATTAAGTGACAAAGCAAGGATTTGTCCTCTCTGGGCTCCAGATGACCTCATGAAACTTGGTGAAACCCAGATACAAAATAACTCAACAGACTGGCCTAGGCAAGGCGCTTTCCTGTGGCAAGAAGGAATACAGCTGATACCATATAGCTGTTCCTGCCCTCTGACACTAAACAGGTCTCAGCCAAGGGCACAGACAAGCTGATAAATGCAGCATCTTGCCTGGGACCATTCTTGCATCTACATCAGAGCTAGAGAAAGGTTGAATCCTGCTTACACTCAGAAGGATTATGTCAGTTGGTGAGCATGAACCAGAACTCCTGCAGCCTTTGGTTAAGATTTTGAGATTCTGTGTTGCTTGATATGCAGATAGGACCAACACTCATCTTACAAAACTGTAACATGTTCTGGGCAAGGAAGGATGGAAAAGAAGTGATGTGTTGGGCAAGCACTGCCTTGGGGCAGGTTGTGTGTGCATGTAAGATTGGAGGAAGAAAAGCTGCAAAGCTGCCACCCACACACAGCTTGAGGCAGAGAGCCTCCATAGTCCCAAAATGGAGCCCTGGCTGTGGCAGTCTGCATGGGATTCCACTCCCACTCCTATCAGTAGATAGGGGTTAACAAGCTGCAGACATTGTTATGCATGAGATGAATCTCATTTATTTGTAACCTGTGGCAATTCCTTTTGTTCTTGGCTCAGAAAACCTGCTGGCAGAGTCTGCAGAGAAGCAAGGGGACCATTAAAAACAAAGAGTCGCTTTCAATTCCCTTTGAAGTCCAATTTGCTGCAGTAAAACTGCAGGAGAATTAACCAGCTGGGCTGCTTAATTTTGCAGAAATCAAGGAAAGAGAAAACATCATCCCTACCCTGCTGGAGCAGGCAGTGACAGCCTCGTGGTTCTGCTGGATCCAACCTGCTGCTCTAGAGCCACAGGACAGCAGCAAGGAAAGCCTCCTTCCTGCTGAGGCTGCAGACTGAGAGCTCTCTGCCTGCTGTGAGGCCTTTGACACTGGGCTGGGGAGAAGCACAACTCCATGCTGGACACTGTGGTCTGCCTACAGGAAACTAGCCAGGGAGCCCAAGTGAACTATCTGAGGAGCAAACAGACTGAGAAGAGCAGATTCCCTTGTTCCACTAGTTCCTCTCAAAGTCAATTGCAGCTGGTCTATAAATGTTTAAGAGATTGATTTCTATGCACCTCTCATCCTTTGGACCCTTTTCAGCTGCAAAGGGCATCCTGAGGGAAGGAGGCTATGGAGGTTGCCGCTGCATGAACACAAGTGGAAAAGAGATCTATGCAAAACAAGGAGAGAATTACAATTTCTTTTTACAGTATTTTCTTACCTGTGCACAACATTGTAAGTAAGCCAGATAATATTTAATGATAAATATTCTCATGCTATTTAATACAAACCCTACTTTTAGTGCAATGCCAGCTTCATTTTCACGTTTAGCTTTTGAAACAATTTAATGGGAACACATTATCCATAGTCTTTGAGCTTGTGGTGTCAGGCTCCTTTATAACCATGTATAAACATGCATTTACAACTAAAGCAAAGATCACTAGATGTATAAGATATACGAACCAAGTTCAGAGTTTTGGTAAGTACCTAATAAGCTGGTGTTTAATAGGACAAGAGGTAATGGCTCTAACGTATGCCAGGAGTGGTCCAGGTTGGATATTAGTAAAAATTTATTCTCTTAAGGAGTGGTGATGCAGTAGCACAGGCTGCCCAGGAAGGTGGTGCAGTCACCATCTCTGGAGGTGTTCAAGAGCTGTGTGGATGTATCACTGAGGGGCACGGTCAGTGGGCATGGCAGGGTTGGTCAGTGGCTGGTCTAGATGATCTGAGAGATCTTTTCCTACCTTAATGATTCTATGAATTCAGATGTATGCTGGCTTCTGATCTGGCAACAACTTGAAAATACATTTTCCCTATCACTCAGTAAAAGGGCTGGGCTGAAATGAAGGGCTGGGTTGGCAGAAGGGAGGGGCATGAAGAGAAATATGATTTTTTTTAAACTTTACAAAGCCACACCAGGAAACAGCAGATGGCCGAGATCCCTTTCCTTACTATGAGCACAGGTTTTTAAAGGGAATATTCCTGCACTCTCTGCAGTTTCATTCTGAGACAAGCTCAGGAAGTGACATGAGTTGCCTGAGATCTCACAGAGATCTTACCAGAGGGGAATATTTTTATACCAACGTGAGCTATAGTTCACTTTTTTTTTTTCTTTCTAAATAAAATGAAGCAACTGTTGTTCGGCACCCTGGGCTCAGTCAGATCAATAAACATAATTTATACTGTATCAACAATATCCCATCAACAGTTGTCAGCATCAAAAGCGTTCTGTTTCCACTGCACAAAGATGACACCAGGGATACAAACTACTTTGTGCTACATAAGAGAGAGGTGAATAATTCAAACACCTACATTGCCTTCCTTTCTGATCATGGAATACCCCAGAGCTGGAAGCAATTTTCTGACATTTACTTATTATTTGAAAATATTCAAGACAAGTGGGGACTCTGTAATGGTGTTTTTATTCCTCTTGTTAAATGGACTGGTTGCAGTCAGGTCTTTGCAATGCATTTGGTACATGATTTCAGCTGTTGCATGTCAAGCAAGAGGTACCAAATTGATTCTGTTTGCAACTGGAGGTGCACACCACAGACCCTGCCAGCTTGGATATCAGTGTGCGTGTGCAGTTTTAGGATTTATTTATTGGGAGGGCACCAGAGATATTTGCCTTCCAAAAACATCTGTACTCGTGGGACACTGGGACTGGGAGTGCTTTGAGTGCAGCACTGCAGAGCAGCACACAGTCACACGTGGATGAATTATTTGTAAGGATTTCTGCAGCAGCTGCTTTGCTCCAGACTGTATGAAATTTATTTTTAAAATCACTTAGAATTATAAATAAATAAAACAGCGTCTGGATTAAAAACTCCGTTGTGCCTCAACACCTACGTATAGTCTGCTTTAATGATCACACAGCAGGCCTGGTCGAGACACTGGCTGCAAGAAATTAAAGCATCCCTGACCACAGAGGTCCTGCCTTAAGGATTTACAACAGTCAGCCACATGTGTGAAATGGAGGTGGTTTTCTAAAGGCTGTAGGCCTGGAGAGGCCATGGCTGCTCAGCAGTCTGCTGCATTACCTGTGGTGTTTGTGAGCTGGAAGGTGATCGATTTGTCAGGGATGCTGCAGACATTGCGGACAGACACCTGGCACGTATAGCTGGCATAATCCTGGGGCCGCAGGTTCTTCAGCTTCAGGACTTTGGTTTCACCCTGGGAGTCAGGGAGAAAGGAGAAGAAAGATGTATGTGCACAAAGTACAGCTCATTGCTGCAAGTCCATCACCGGGCCCAAAGCTTACAAGTAATAACCATTCAAACCTCAGGAAGCTGTGCAGACTCCAAACCCTCCTAGCTATACACAAAGGAGACACAGAGCATTTGCAGGGACTGCTCCACCTCCAGAATTTCTCAAAACACCCAGCAAATGTCACAAAACCTGGAAGCAGTGCCGAATGGGTCTGAGCTTAATTTCTTGTCAGCTCTTGTCACAGTCATCTCACGGAAGGAAAAAAGCCTTAAATGTCCGAAGACAGCCCCTGAGCTCATGCTGAGATGTCAGTGGGAGCCTAAATAAAGTCAGTGGGGTCTCAACATTGCAAAAACAAAGTAAACCAGGGCTGATGCTGGCTTAAATATAGCATGATCAATAGTTAAGCCACAAAAAAAAAAAAAAAAAAAAACCCACAAAATATTGCAGTACAGAAAAAAAAAGGTAATTCAGAGAAATACTCAAATATCCCCCCCCCCAACCCTTTTGATCTCTTTTCTCCAGATTCTAATCTCATTTATGCTGGCATAAATCCAGAGTGTCTGCACTGAATTTGATAGCCTTTTCTCATTCTATGGCAACAAACAAACACAAGAATCACTTGCTGACACTCCATCATGTTATAAAAGCAGAATAAAGTTGTTAAATTAACAATAGATGTGTTCCATAAATTTTTATTTATGGAATGCAGAAAGCTCAAAGATGCATCCTGTGGTTTGCACACCCTGCAACTCATACGTCTTCTCACGACAGCTTGTCGCTGCTGTGCTCCTTGTGCTTGTCTAAATCTCTTTTGGAGAAACCATTCCGTAATTGCCTGTAAATGTGAGAAGGTGTCAGCATGACAAATCCTCTTGAGGCAACCTCAAGGGACTGGACGATGAGCTCAGGCATGCTAATATGCATAGAACAAGGATTTGAACTGAGTAAATTAGGAAGATAAATACCTAGGAGACCAATAACCCTACGGAACTCCTGTCCCCTAAGATTTGTTGCTATGCTGCACAAATGATGGCATTTACAACGTGCTTGTCAGCTAGTGACTTATACAGTCATATGTATCCAGTTTATTGATTAGTAAATGTTGGGTAAATGTGTATAAACCTTCAGTGTAAATAAGTTTTTAAAAGCTTAAACAGCAAAATCTTCCTGTCCTTTCTAGTGCAAAGGGCTACCTGAACCTGGCTCTGATAGCAGTTTATCTGGCCTGTCTCAGACAATTCTACGAGCCCTGTGAAGAGTGCTTTGTTAAGCACAATTTATTTGAGCTCAAGGAAGGTTTTACTTTTCACATGTGCTTCACCTAACTTCAACTCTTCTCAACCCAAAGGCTCATCAGGGCAGGAACACTGCCTGACTGGAGCTGCAGGGGCTGGGGTCATTTACATGTTAACCTGGCACGGCAGGTTCCACTGAACACTTTATTTAGCTGGAGAAAACATCTCAAGTCCTAGGACATTGCTAAGCAATGTATCCTGTTAGCCATAGAGAGCTTAATGAAAGCTAGATGAGCCCGTAGTGGCTTCCTCTGAGGCCAGGGATGTTCCTGGTTGGATGCCACAGAGCACCAGACGAGACAAAGCTCTCTTCAGGACCAAAGCAGCACTGACCTACAGCATTTCTGCAATCTGCATGGGAACCCAAAGCACTGTGCTCTCTCCTAATCTCCCTATGTGTTTCCATTTGGCTGCCCATTTCCACAACTTGCAGAAATAGCATTTCAATAAAATATGAACACGACTGCATTAACTGAAAGGTTGCCTGGGGCATGCTCAAAAATCAAACTCAGTCACAATGTGCTCAGGGCCCAGCTTTGGGAGTGCCCGAGAGCAGAACTGGATGTGGGATGAAATGGGTGCCCTCGGGAACTGCTCTCCAAGCCCTCCCTTCCTACCCATCCTAGTCATCCTCCATAAGTTCTAGTGCTGACTGACATCTGAAGTACGTTCAGAGCTACTCCTTCAGTCACCCAATGAGCCATCAGCAAAGTGACTGTGAAGAAAGTGGCATTCAGGGGGATAACATGGCTGTGCAGGGGCAAATCCAGCACGGGCAAGCAAGGGGAACAGAGACAATGTGGAACCTTGTCATAAGATGATGGTCAGAAAGTGCCTAGCCTCTGTTGCTTGTGGCCATTAGGAAAATATGTTCATCTTTTGGAGACACTCAAGGTGAGGCTGGCCTGCTCTCTAAGTGCCCTGATCTAGCTGTAGGTGTCCCTGTTCATTGCAGGGAACTTGGACTAGATGGCCTTTTAGGGTCCCTTCCAACGCAAACAATTCTATGATTTTCCTCACCAAGCCCACTGCAATCCTTGCCATTCTCTCACGCTGCTAAATAGGAATCCCCTTCTCCTATTTATCAAACTTGGGTGCTTGTTTAAGAAAAAAGCAGCACAGAATTAGAGACCCCATCTTGAGATTTTTTGCTTGGAGAACAGACTCAGCCACCCCACAACCATGTAAAACTTATTAGGGAAATTGTGTCCTGCACTCAAGGACAGTACCAAAAGGGGAAGCAATGCCAAGCATAGGACACTAGGCTGTCATGTTCCCTCTTGCTCTCCTGCTTCTCTTTCTCCCTGAGGACCTGCAAACAGAAGAACGCACTACCAGCCCTTTTGAAGCCAGCGCTCCTTGCAGTGCCCACCACCCTCACCCCACCATTGTAACCTACAGAGAGAGAAACACCATCCACTACAGAGGCCACTACATCACACTAAGATGTTCATCACAAGCTGATGGAGGTTTGTTTTTTTTTTCACCTGTGTGTAGAGGGGTTCGTAGATGTCCACGCCATTGTCCTGACTGTGAGAAAGCGTCTCAGCTCCCCGTTTCCATATGAAGCGAGCTGGTGGGTTGGAGTTGACGGTGCAACGGAGGAAGACAGTCTTCTCCTGGTAGAAGCTGCCACGTACATCACTGATGGTCTGGTGAACAGTGAGGACGGGTTCATCTAGATCTGGAAGGAAGGCAAGGAGGGCCGCAGCAGTTGTTAGTGAAGCACTGTCTGCATGTACAGCCTGCAGAGCAGATGATGCTCCAGGGGCTGTAGGGGGAGGGGAAGCTCCCATACATTTAGCTAAGGACAACTGCCGAATTCAGAACTGATCTGAGGACAGGTAATACTGATAGCATCTAAAGGGAACAGACAGGAGAAGCCAGAATTCTCCCGCTCACCACACAACGTTCAGAGAATAGAAAGCACCCTCCGGTTTGCAGATTCCATGTGGTCCTCCAGTAAACTGTCTGTTTGCTACACACCTGTCCGACCAATGGGCTGGTCATCTGACCACCAACGACACCTCACACCCAAAATCACCATTATCAGCTTCAGCGAGAAGCTGGAAGGATCCCAGGAAACTCTACCACATCCTCATTTCCTCTGCTCCCACCTTCCAGTCCCCTTCTGAAATCACAGGGCTAAGCCCATGGCTGACAAGTCAAGGGGTGAGGATAGAAACCAGGACAAGATCAATGTCCTAGACTGCAGCAAGTCTTCATGGAGCACCACTAGAATATGAGAGGTAAAACATAGTGATAGGTGTGTATAACTTCCCTCTTATGCCCAGCTTAAGTATTGTCTATACTTTCTCCTTCACAGTGTTTGTGCTGACTCTTCACTAACATTTACTCAATGCATCTTTATCACTCACTTCTAAACTGATCAGATTCTTTTCTCCCTTTACAGAAATTAGTCCTTCCAAATCTTCCTTCACCATATCCACATCACACAACTGTTGTCATTGATTCAGTGGTTATCAATAACTTCACTTGCAAGGACACAAGGAATAGCCCTGGAGGGAGGGTACTTGGAGGGTACTTTCTACTTCCATCCAGATCACACTGCTGCCTACTGGCTGCCTTCCTGCTAAAAAGGAGATAGTTACCTTGCTAGATTTTTTCTTTTTCTTTTTCTTTTTTTTTTTTTTTTTCCATCAGACATTTATGTCTGAACATCAAGGAGTCAAGGAAGCATGGAGAAAGGGAAAACCTCGGAGGACATGGATGTTTTGCCTTCCAGAACCACTTCGATATTGAGTAGGATTAAATGTAAAAATCCCATTTGAAAAGCTGGGACAACTTTGCACTCTAAAACTGAAATGTGCCCCATGACATTAAGCATGTCTTCAAAGTAGTCCGTTGAGCTCACTGAAGCACTTCTGTATTTTCAGAAGCTTTATGAACCCATTTTCAACTGAAAAACAACTGAAGCACACACATCCAGAATGCCCTTCTGTAGCCAGCACTGTCTTCTGCACATAACAGCAGAAAGGAAGAGGACATGTGCCCATCACCTCCAGCTCTTCTGTGTCACCTAATTTTCAAGATACATTATTTTAGAGATTTGCAAGTTTGGAAGTCTGGCTCCCAGGAAGGAAGTGGGGGAGGAGAGATGAGTTTCTGCTAACGAGTCATCCAAATAACGTATGTTCTCTGCTGAATCACAAGTGTTAACTGTTGGATTTGCATATATTTGTAAGATGTATGCTTGTTGGCTTGACCATAACATAGCTCAGAGAGATGAGTAGAGCTGTGGACAAGGCAGGAGAAAACAAAATCAAAACACACAAAAACCATCCAAGACTGTAGAAAAACATACACAAGTGGAGATAAACAGCCCCTGTCCATGAAGTGCTTTCTCCATGTGGCCATGACTAAATTTTACACTAAATTCTCTTGGATCTGGACTTCGGGCACTGTTTTTTCTTCTTCTGCATTCCTTAATCCCCCTTTATTTGTTCACCCTTTATATGAATAACTCAGTAACTACCACTCCTCTGAGGCCCCATTTCTCTGCAGGATGCATGGCAAAATACTTCCCTTATCCATCAAAGACGACACTCCCCATTCAAGTCTGCTGGTTCCCAGCTACTCCCCAAATAGAAAATATTACCTTCCTTTTTCTTGCTAGACCTTTCTTCCTTCAAATCTTCCATCCTTCTTTAATAGCAGTAGGCTGTAAGTCTAGTCCTCCTGAGAAAAGCTGAAATAAGACCTACGACGATACACATGTGCTTGATGTACGAGTAAAGCCACTGATGTCAGCGAGCTGCACGAATGATAAATTTGGCCCAAGGCGGCTCATGGAGAAGATCACATGGGATGTCTCATACGCAATATAAGCTTGTAAACATCTATTCTTTCTTTTCTTTCCTTTCCCTCTCTTGCACATAAAAATACTCCACACTGAAGCTGCCTCTCTGCCAGCATCTGAACAACACTTTAAAGTCGCACTCAACACACACTTGGGGCAAAGGAATAACTTGCTACACAGGTTAGTGCTTCCAGTTTGATATCCTCTTGGTACCAACGGTGCTCTTCACACAACCTTTCTGTCTAATACTATGAGTGAAGACTAGCACTGGCTGTCAAAGACACCGAGGTCCAAATGAGAGTGATTACTTACCTCTAACTAAAAATAGGGATGTGGGGAAAAGAGGGTTGTGTTTTCAAATTCTGGTTCATTCAGATGAAGGTTGCCTGGTTGAGCGTTCAACAAAAACTGTGGCTGTTCCTATGTGTTCCCTTATACCTACTGCAATTACTAGCAGAAAATAGATTCTCCTGCCCCAAAACAGAGTGAGCAGAACAGAGGTGCTTTACCAAGTCCATCTTCAGAGTAGATGTTAGTATGAGAAAGCCCTTGGCCATCCCATTAGCCCCACAGTTCTACAGGTCAGAGCTGCATGAAGGACCACAGGATGCTACATCACTCTAGTTCCAGTCTGCATCTCAGAAGTAAAGGGAATTCCCATAGCCCATGAAGAGAGACTCATGCGACAGCCCAATTCCTAGAGTCAAAGACTCTGACAAGTTGCCATACCGAGTACTGAGAAAAGCAAGACTCTTAATATGTAGAGTTATTGTATGCAAGAGAGAAAATGGTCAGAGAAGCCAAGCAGAGCTTGGTGGGTGTCAGGACTTCTCCAACAAAGCTACGCAATGCCCATGAAGTAATGTTCATCCTATTCAAAGTGGCAAAAGGCTCAGATGAAGCGATCTGCCATACATGTCCAATCTGCTAGTTCTATGACTTTTTTGCCCTTTTTTAAAAACGATTTAATAAAAAATAGTAAAAAGTAAAAATAAAAAAAAACAGGTTTTGATACTTACATGCTCTAACTATATTATGTATTTTACACGTGACTCAAGACAATTCCTCGTCACTCAGTGTGGCCCAGGCAAGTCAAAAGGTTGGACACATGCATATACTGCAAACCTGTGGGATGGTGGTCATGCTCTACTACCACCAGTACAGGGTAGGGAAAGGAAGGAAGGGAGATGAAAACCACTCCAAGCTAGATAACACAAATGTGGATCATGAGGTAACCCAAGCATAAGGATTTTCATGTACAGACACAAAATCTAAACAGAATGTAGCACAGCGCTTAAACACGCTAGCTCTCATTTCAAGACTGGATAATAGAGGTAAAAGGATGCAACCGGGCAGTGTTTCCTGCAAGCAAAGTCTCTGCCCAGACTTTAACCACGTCCTGGGGTTTTTAAGCCTGAAGGCTGCTCCACTGACAACTGTTACATCAGCACAAAAGGCCACCTTGCTAGAAGGACTTTATAATCATTTGCAACTTTTGCATCAGTCCATTGCTGGTTAGACCTTCTCAGATGATGTGAGGAGAGGGATGTGGTGTTAATAGGGTCGGAGGAATCTGGAACAGCGGATAGCCAAGAGCAATGAGTAGAATCTTAATCCTAGAGGGTAAACCTCTTCAAAAGTTGCCAGGACCTTAAATCTCCAATTCCTCCTATCTGGGAAGTATAGGACAAGCCTAATCTCCTCTTCTGGCCACAATAGCCCAAGAATAAATAAAAGAATGCCCAAGAATCAGCATGAGAACCTTCAAAGGTGGAGAGCTCCTAATAGCATTGCCAGAACACAAGACAGACAGGCATTGCAAACAGCCAGAGAAATACTAAGTCACTTCTGAAACCAAGGGATCCTCAGTAGTTTCCTTCGCATCTATCCTTTCACAGCTCAGCTTCTCCAGATGCATCCCAGAATCTTTTGCTGTTTCCACCACACTGCAGTTTGAGATGTGGGGTTTCAGAAATGCTCCAGACATCTAAAGAAGTACTGATTTCAAGAACCAAGCTAGCTTCAAAATGAAGACAAAGACAGCAGAAGCCATCTACAATGCTACATCCCACAACAGTGCTAGGACTTCTAGTGGCAGACATCATAATATCTTGAAAAGAGTGTTGGCATGGACAGGCAGAGCCATCTTTTTCCCAGATGGATCTGATCTCTAGGGAAAAACAGCATAATAGTCCCTTTGCCACTGAATTATGTGCACACAGTCCTAGGGCAATGCAGCTCCCTACCAGCCCCGCAGCAAGACAGAGACACACAGTAGAACTGTGGGAAGATCTGGGTTGCCACTAAACGACTTACACTGCACATCTACTCGAATGGACTTGATGGCAGGGACCCCAACCCCATTTTCTGCTTTACAGTAATAGCGGCCCCCCTGCAGCCTTTGGATCTTCTCAATCCGAAGGGTCTCGTTAAGCACTGACGTCTCTTGGAATTTGTCCGACGCGCTGCCAGCTGTTTTGGTCCATCTCACCTGTACAAGAAAGAGAAACACAATCTACCAGTGACAGAAACCAGAGATCCCAGGGGACAGCAGGACTCCCTTTTCCCCCCTCCCCAGTCATTTATAGAAATGGGCCCTGAAGCACCACCAGACTACCAAAGCTCAACTGCTGATCTCAGTACATCTCTGCAGGCTAGCTGCTAATTCTTAGCCATCACCAATTCCCATGTCCTAGCACCTGGGATAATCCTTCAGATCACACAGACACACACAGCATACTCATCACTCCTGCTCTAGTCCTCTAACTTGCTTAGAGTAATATCACTGTATGAGCAGCACAGGACTTTCAGCATTAAGCCTCAGGATCCCACGTGGCTAGCAGGCCATGAAGCTGTAGAAGACATCAGCTTACAGCTACAGAGCTTTTATTGCAGTCAGCACCCTTTCATCTTTCTCTGGACAGCAAGGTTATTTCTGCTGTTTGCTTTTCCAACAGTTGAAACCGCTGTTACTATCTGGCTCTCGCCTCCTTCCTACAGGGAACCCCACGTATGTTATTTTTATACATCATCCTTCTGCAGTATACAAACTTTTACTTTGATTTTAAAACAACAGAAAAAGAAAAGAAACAAGAATCCCTTCAGATTTCAGGGTATCTTGGATTTCTGACCATATGTTACATGTCTTAGGGTCCTGACCGATGGGGGCAACATAGCAACACAGTATTTCACAATGAACAGTGGCAAGAAGACAACACTTCTAAAGACTGAAAGGTTATTTTAATGTCTGTAACGAGGTGCAGTCTAAGCAGCATTGGTACAAGCTTGCCCTCATTTTCTACAGCCCAGATGATAGAAGGGAGAGATGGCTTGCTTCAGCCCACTGACTGCCTATATCACAAACCACCCTTCTAAAGGCTGATGACACTGATGGTTCCCACACCTGCGCCATCTAGTCTCTGGGGCTGGGATCCAACAGGATCTGCCAACAGAAAGGATACAGACATTCATTCAACTTTGGCAATGGATGGGAAGGACCAGATTCCTTGACCCCCTACCCCAGGCTTTCCCTAAAGCTCACTGCCACCACCTGATTGATGCTGGCACTCTAGAAATGACAGGCATGTTTAAATCACAGTCTCAGAGCACCAGACTGAGCAGACTTTTGGAGCTAATGATCAAGGATTTATTTAGCCTTTGTAGGCTTATTATGAAATTGTCTGAGGGCATCAAGTCTCCTGTTTGCAAAAATACTTCAGCCAGCTCTTTAATCTTTCCAATTTCAATCTAATTTAAGTATTTTGGCCACATTTTCATACTTTAATGACTGGCTGATAAGAAGGAAAAGATTAAACAAAGGTTAGGAAAAGAGCTTAGCTGGGAAAGAAATCTATCTGTGAAGAGAGAGGGCAGAAATAGGACACACGCCATGTTTAATGCACACAAGTCCCAGCCTCCCTCGTCATGCCTGGTTCTGCATTACACAGTGTCCCTTGTGCGCATCTGGGCAATATCACACCTCAGTGTTGCCCACAAGCATGCTGTCTGCATCAAGCTCTACTACAGAAATCTGTCTTCTCAGGCTCAAACCTTCACAACCAACCAGCATCTTCTCACATGTTCAACACCATTAGGTAGAGCCAGCCCCACCATCCTCCTCACTTCTGATGTACACAGCTATCACCCACCTAGCACTTTCACAAGTCTAGGCTGATCATTCTTGCTGGCTTGGTTCAGATTTATTTATATTTTAATTGCTTCCAGGATATGCTTTGATGGACAATCCATTTCAAATCCTGCTGAGTCTCCCTCCTTCTCCTGTTGTCTCTTCTCAGTAAACCATCTCTTCACAAGCAAGTTCGTGGAGGGCTTGATTGACATACGCTAAATGTATACTGCTCAGCACAAATGTCTTTGACTGGAAAGACTGAGAAAGAGGGCTAAGAAGGTGCACGTATCATACTTGGATCCCTTGAGCGTATTCTGGCACATCCTGCCTCCCAGCACACACCAGCTGCCATGCTTCCCGCATTGTCCAAGAGCAGGCAGACCGTGCTCTTGACTGAGCATCTTTATAGACACCATTCACACTGATATTGAAACAGCCTGCTCTGAGTATCTGAAAGGTGCAGAGGGGTTGCACAGGACTTGAGGCTATGCAGCCCTCCGGGAACCCTGAGGAAGGAAAGCAGCAGTTAGCCATATTCACTCTCAAGCCTCCTCACTGAGCTGAGGCTGACTACAGCATGAACATCTCCAGCACTGCAGGTCTGAATCTGCCTCTGGTTGGTGGCTCTAAAGCAAGGACCAGTGGAGCTTTGTGGAGCTCTGCAGAGTGCACCACAAACAACTTTCTGAACTCCCCCAAGCAAGTTCCCCCTTGACTGCACATCCAGAGAATCAGAGAGAGAGATGAGCCATGAAGGACCTACTTCTGTGGTCAGCATGTGGGGCAAACCTCCTCTACCCAGTTCAGGGTTTTGTAGAAAGTGGGGTCAAAGGTTTGAGGGTGGATTGTACAATGGGCTGCTCTTCTATTTTGAGAGAAACTTCAGATACTGAATACCACTAGATGTTTTGGGTAGGCTCCTGAAAAGCAGTTTGGACTATATTCTTTGGAAACAAGGCTTCTTCGCAGTTTGAACAGTTAATATTTGTGCTATAGGACACTACCTGGCTCCAACATGCAGGAGAAAGCTGAGCATCCTGCTGACTGGTGAGACTGAAGCCTTACCTGTGGCCGGGGGTGTCCTGTGACCAGACACTGCAGGACCAGCGTGTCCCCTTCCCGAATTGTGTAAACACGTTCACTGATGTTGTCCTCCTTCACCACACATGCCTGCCCAGCATGGATAATTTGGGCCTGAGCAGGAGCTGCAGAGAAGAAAGAAGAGGTAACAAAGGAAACAAGCAGCACTCCATCCCCTTGACTCCACTACCCATGACAGCTGTGTCCACAGCAGGGTGGAAGAGCCACCTCTCGAACCACAGAAGGGAAGAGCCAGACAGTGCTGGGTACGAGACACAAAAGACTGAGAAGATGGAGAATTGAGTAATTATCCTTATTTCCTGGGAGCCTGGTATCACCTTCTACTTAAAGTTCTTAGGTGCAGCTCTAGGCACTGAAAAGAAAATATGGAGTATTTTTTAAGACCTTTCTGAATGGGCTGAGGACCAAGAACTCCCTGCTCCTCCAGAAATGAGCATACACAAGAGGTTAAAGCAGGGATCTGGTCAAATCACGGCTGCTCTATGCCTGTCTAAAATGGGCCTAATGACTATAATTTACTATGCAGGGGGCTAGGATAACTGCTGAGTGGAGTCAGAAAGGGTCTTGATGCTCCACATGGCTTTCAGTATGTCCCTAGAACATGCATAGTACATGCTACCGGAAAAACAAGTCTTTCCCACATTACACAGCAACCACTGCAACTCTGTGCCAGAGGGAACATCTCCGTGGAACCAGAAAATGCATTACCTCTAGGGCTCCCTCACTCTTCCCAGGACTTTAGGAGTAGACCAGTGACTACCAGTCCAGCAAGGAGAACAAAAGAGTTGTGCAAGGGAAAAATTCATGGAAAGAAAGTTCCCAGAGCCGAGTTTAAAAACTGCACATCCCCAACCAGCTGATCCACTGTAGCTCTAATCAACAGCAGGGAGAGAGAAACAGCAAGAAAACAGGACCTAATAACAAAATCACCTTAACTCTAGAGGTCTGTATGAGCAGCCCTTGGTTCCCTACTCCAAAAGCATCTGTGTGATCACTGAAGTGGCTGAGATGTATTGAAAGTGACTGTGCAGCCCAACGAGACACCTGTGCTTGTTCGAGGGGAAAACTCCAGTCACACTTCAAGGAACAGAGAAACCCACACGTGTCTAAGAACCACTACCTCAGTGAGAGTGCCCCTGGGATGCACTGCCCTGTCTTGCTGCAACACTTCCAGGTGACTCCAGAGTCACAGCTCCAGCTGCTATTAGTGAAATACAATGCAGACTAACAAGACAATGACAAGACAGGTGATCCAGGTGTTTAAAGCAAAGAGCCTGAGTGAGCCTTCTGAAACAAACACTGATTTGTACAACCTGTTACAGCTGAACTGAGCACCCACTTTTTCCTCAAGGTTAGCTGAACTACTATTTTCTTTCGTGGATTTATTTATTTATTTATTTTAAGTGATTTCTTACTCTGCTCCAGGCATGACCAAAATGCTCTAACCCCAACCACATGGCAAACAGAAGTGCTCAGATTTATGCTGATTTCATTCACCAGCAGCACAGACTCTGCCTTTGAGGTCAGCCTGTAAAACTGGTGTCACCACAAAGCACTGATCCCTGAGCAGCTATGACACAAGAGTGGCCACAGGACCGTGGGCAGACAGCTGCTCTTGCTGCTGGGCTCTCCATCATGGCACGGTCACGCGGCACTCAGGCAGCAAGCTATTCTCTTTTTAGAATCACAATTGTTTGAGTTGGAAAGGACCCTAAAAGGTCAGCTGCAGAGTCCAACTCCCCTGCAACGAACAGAGACACCTACAGCTACACCAGAGTGCTCAGAGCCTTGTCCAGCCTGACCTTGAGTGGCTTCAGGGATGGGGCATCCACCACCTCTCTGGGCAACCCATGCCAGTGTCTCACTGCCCTTCCAGTTTGACGTTACTTGGTTGGCAAAATCATGATTGGCTCATTACTATCCAAGCTATTGACTAAGAGAAGCAATATGTTTATTTGAACAGTATGATGGCATAAACATGGACAAATCCCTTAATCTTTTTCATCTGCAGGACTTGTAGGAACTTGCCTGTCATCTCTGAAACCAACAGTCAAAGCTCCACTAATACAACTGAGCAGATGAGCGATCTTCCCCTGCCTGGATGGCAGAAAATTCTTGTTGAACACAGGAAGAAGGAGAAAGCAGAAACTTATGTGCATATATACATATGAACACACGTATATGCTTTTTAAGTAAAATAGTGACTTATCAGTAAAAGACTGCATGATTGCTTGTCAAGTGAACAATGGCAGAGCAGCAATTCAGATGTCCATGTAACCTTTGCCAGTACACTTCAAATCCAAAACACTGCCTCTTATCGCGCTGCTCCAGCCCTCTGCAGACATGTCATAACACCTCTACCCACATGCACTGCAGAACATTGCTCACAATGCCAAGACGTACTCTGTGATGCTGAAGACTCCCTGCTCTATGATTAAAAGAGAAAAACCCTGTCCCTTCCTATCCTGTAGCACACTCCTCTCCCAACCTATGCCACCCCTGTTTCAGTGGGGTCCTGACACCCTACAGCAGCAAAGCTATTGAAATCTCTCTTCTCATTCTCTGGGCTATGTTTGCCGGCTGGTGGCTCTGTTCTCCCTTTGCAAACATGACCTTGCTGTGAAAACTAATTGCCAGCCACCCCGTGGAGAATTAGAATATTTATCTGAAGCTCTTGCTCCCAGTTAAATGTTGCCTCAAGTTGCTCGGCTGTGCCCCAAATGGTGCACAATCTCTTTAGCCTCAAGCCTTCCAACTTGCATGCTTCTCCCTTCGGCCATCCCACTGCCATACTTTTACCTGCTTTCTGTAACCTCCATCTCACCTGCCTAAAGGCATTTCTACATAGGGAATTTCCACAGCAAAACATTAAGTACAGTTGTACTGTACAAGAGGGTTTTTGTGCAATCGCTGCAGTACCAAAATACTTTGTCATCATCGTTACCTGAGTTTGATAGAATATTATATAAACTAATCCTTACTTTGCAGTGTAAAGCAACATATAGCACTAAGCTACAGCAAAATGAGAATGCTGGAGATAAACATTGTGTCAGTTTAATTCTTCTCTCCCCAATCTCCCCTGGGTCCACTTGGGCTGTCACAAAGCTTAGGAACATGGGGGTGAACATTCAGCTTTGTGCTACCATTAGGAATACCTTAAGTTCCATTTAGTGGAAAGGGACATCACTTTAATTGAATCACTACTATTCAAGCTGTAACATCTCTCTTACAATCACAGCACCAGGTCTCCTGCAAGACCAACAATCATTTTGCCATGTTTTAAACCTCGTATGAACCCATATCTCTCAAAAGTGAGACCAAAAAGCCTAGGGCTGTCTTGGAAAGAAAAGCGCTCAAGGAAATGGCATGGGAAGCTGAGAAAACAGCCTTAGATACAATCTGATAGGAGCGAAGGTGTGGGGCTGAGCAAGGGATGAATCCAGCTCCCAAAGGATTGTGTTAAATCATAGGATGGGATTCCAGAAGTCTTGGTTCCAAGCTCAGCTCAGTACACAAAGGCTGGGAAAGCCACCTCATTCCATACCACAGATAGACAGAGAGATGGTGAGGATTAATTGTACTTCTAATGTGTTTGAACAGAAAGAATACATTGTTCAACATCATCCCACGTCTCCTAGAGGATTTCAGGATGATGACAGTTTGCCATCTTGTCCTGGCAACACACAGGACCTGTTTCTCAAAGGAAACAGTTTCAAGAAGGCCCTTGGGAGTGAAAAGAAAGGTTAGAGCATCAGGCAAGTGCTGGAGATGGAGAAATAATCTCAGGCCATTCTTAGAGGAGCCCCACAAGGAATGAGTAGGATAGGCTGTATCTGCAAGACTAAACGTTTTAGGAACAGAACTGCACAAAGCGCTCCAGAGAAACTGAGCCAACCAAATATTCAAAGCCAGACACTTTACAATGTAAAATTCAAGCTCTGAACCTGCAGCATTAAGTTCTTCCTTCCGAAAGAGCTGGCTTGCAGCACATTTGGCCCCTGCATCAAGACTTCCTATTACGCTTTCATTTGATGTATTCACGCATTAAAACAAAAGGAAATTGGAGTGGGTAAAATAATTTTATTCCCAGTGCAATGTACTGTACAATGTTATTATTACTATAATCTGGAAAGTTTATGACACTCTTGGTGCTTAGAGGTTGCTAATATCATTAAAAAGTAGAAAAGGAAAGAACTGTTTTTTGGAGAGGACTGAGTAAGTGCATTTGATTCACAGGTCTAGCCACTTCATCTTTCCGAACCTGAAATCCCCTATCTCTGTGATGGTAACAATGAGAAGTCCTTCACAGAGAGGGTAAGAGACAGATACTGCATTGCCAGGAGCCAAATGAAAATCTATAGCTCAAGGAGAGCAGAGAGAAAGGGAGAAAGCAAGAAGACAAATAGGCAATGGCATTCTTAGGTCTCTATCAGTTTATTACATATTCTAAATTTTAGGGAGAAATTAGAGGAGTGTCCCTTGAGAACAGATCTGCTGCAGCAGAACAAAGAGGAATAGCCAAATTCCTGCTTCAGTCCTTACTCTCTTCCCAGACAGTCTACCAGCGTTGCAGACTTTCCGCAGTCACGTTTCCTGTAGCCAAACCCTCTAGGCAGCTACACCAGAAGGCTGTGCCTTCCATCAGTGCCTTCATCTGCACAGGAATGCAATCCCCTGGCTGCCTCCAGGCAAGGTTTCACAGAATCCAGCTAAGCCCAAGCAAGCTCTAGGCAAAGAAGCCATGGACTTCCATTTCTCAGCTATGAGGGGGCACAGCTGGGAGGCACTGATTGCTAATCTGCTGCTGAAAACCCTCAAGAACCTTCTGGCATCTTCACTCACCTTTCCAGTCCCAAACAAGTGGCATGTAAGAGGTGCATCTTGAAGGGAGTTTCTGGGAAGGGGTAAAAGGTGTTTATGGAGCACATGGAATTGAATACAAATCTCCCTCAGCCATTAGTGGCTGAATAGCCACTCTCAATAGGAGCACTCACAGGTGGCACTGCCCCATGGCACTGTTACAGGTGCTACAGTGCAAAGGGAGTGTGTCTCAGGCCTCAAAGTCACTGCTTCAGTGTTTTATCCATTCTGTTTATTCACTGCACAATTCTGCTCAAAGAGGAGGCAGATGCAAACAAAGGCCTCTGAGAATCACAGAATCACAGTGGTTGGAAGGAACCTCAAGAAATCACAATGTCCGAGCCCCCTGCTAAAACAGATACCCTACAGGTAGGCATCCAGATGGGTCTTGAACATTTCCAAAGAAGGAGACTCCACAACCTCTCTGAACAATCTGTTCCAGTGCCCCATCAACCTTACCATAAAGTTCATATATGTGTTAGTATGGAACATCTTATGTTCAAGTTTGAGACCATTACTCCTTGTCCTACTGCTACACACCACAGAGAAGAGCCTGGCCTCATCCATTTGCCTCCCACCTCCTTTTAGATATTTATAAACATTAATCAGATCCCCTCTCAGCCATCTTTTCCCCAGGCTGAACAGCCCTAGGTTACTCAGCCTGTCCTCACGCAGAATGCTCCAGGCCCTTTATCATCTTTGTGGTCCTCTGCTGGACTTCTTCTAGGAGATCCCTGTCTTTTTTGAACTGAGGAACCCAGAACAGGACACAGTTTTCTAAATATGGCCTCACCAGTGCAGATTAGAGGGAGACTTCCTCAACTTGATGGTCACTCTGTTTTTAATGCACCCCAGAATACCTCTGGCCAGCTCGGCCATAAGGGCACATTGCTGACTTACGGCCAACCTGTTGTCCACCAGGGCACCAAGGTCCTTCTCCACACAACTCATCTCCAGCAGGTCACCCCCTTATCTGTACTGATGCATCTGGTTATTCCTCCCCAGGTGCAAGACTCCACACTTATTCTTATTAAACCTTGTCAGGTTCCTACCTGCACAACTCTCCAGTCTGTCCAGGTCTTGTTGAATGATATGGAGGAATGGATTGGAGTATGGAGGAGGTCGAGATTTTCCCCCACAGGAGTGAGGATGTGAAGGGTATGCAAGAATCCTGAGATTCAGACAGAACATCCTGCCTATGCCTGCTCAGGGAAGGGTTGGCATCTGGATTGTTGTATGGATTCTGGAATTCTGTGAATATCCATTGCTATTCAGCTGGTCTCACTGATTGCTCCACTGTGGACGAAGACCACAGGCTTTGCCAAAACTTCCAACAATACAAATTAACCAGGCCTTCTCCAGCCCACAATGCTGGGCATGATATCGATGTTTGAAAAGGAAAATTCACTCCAGCTTGAGGCTGATTATGGAAATAATAATACACAATCGGTGTCCATTAACACTGTCACAAGGGCTGTGGATCAATAGCATATTAATGGTTGAAGAAAGACTGCCCATACCTATCAGCAGTTCAGGCCAGCACAGTGGCAGAGGGAGAAGCAGTAACAGCAGACAGGTGTGAAGGAGCTCAGGTACTTGATGTCTCCACGCAGCCTGCCCTGGGAGGCTGGAACAGAAGCCCTTAGGGTAACTACAAGGAGCAAAGCATACCCATGCTCTCAGGTCTCCCACTCCTTGCTCCAAGTCTTCTCTCACACCTCCAGCACTGCCTTCAGCACGTGGCCTCCATAAGCTTAATGCATCTCCCTTGAAGCTCCTCCTGCCAGCTCTGCTAACATAGCTTGCTGCCCAGGTGACTCAGCCATACCAAAGGCTATCCTAAAGCAAAAACCTCCAGGAAGCCCTAATGTCATGCTGACACTAAGGATTACAGCCCCAAGCAAGACAGATCTTCACTGAGATTCTCTTGCTACCTGTGTATCAGTATTCTCGTGGCAGTGCAAAGCATACATACTTAAAAATAAAAAATCTGCTTGCTGGACTCTTGGCCTAAATTTGCAGCAGGGAACCTGTCATATTTTCAGCAGCAAAGTGCCTGGCTCCTTACCGTGATTAGAACACAAACATCAATCCACCCACAACAAAAACACAACCACTTCTGAGATATGCAAAGCAACCATGCCTAACCCTATGGAACAATTCACCGCACTCTTCAGTGTAAAGGGAAGAATATAATTTTTAAGGGGAAGAACAGAGAAATCACAGAGTTTGGGAAAACATTCATAGAGCATGAAACTTGGCCAAGACAGTCTTTACAACTCTGGCTGATTGCATATCCAAAAACAGAGTTCCCTTTAGTAAAGCTCAGCCAGATGATTTGCATGGTCTTAAAATAACTTTCTCCTAAATCAATGCCGCTTTCTTGAAACATTTATATAATTTTGTTTCTTTTAGAAAAACATCAGCAACAAAACCATGTGAGATAATATGAACAACAGGTACACCCCCCAGTGACTGCAGGAGATACTCTGAGGTCTTTGTTCGATCTAAAATGAAGGAGCATATTGTGTATTTTATTGAAGCATCAGAGCCACTAGATCATCAGTAACTCCTTCATTCCCAATTCCCCTGCCTGTAACAGATCATTAATTCTCGATGGTGTTCCCTAAACTTTCTTACACAGATCCACCTATCTGCAAAGTATTGAGCTGCAGAGCAAAAATCAAAGTGTTTTGTTTGATAGGTATCAAGTGATAGATGTTATACACACAACATTACACCAGCATGGACTCTGCATCACTGCCTAACTTGAGCCTGAAGGGAATTTGTACAGATGACTTAGTGTCAGCAATATGAGGCAGGTTGCCTTCAAACCGTTTGGGGCTCCAGATATGGAAGCAATCAGAGCCTGTGCTGTACCTGAGTAATACTATCCTGGGAGATTCCGGCTTTGGTCAGGAAATTTATAAAATAAGCATGCCTCATGACAGTCATAAAAGAGACTATTTTCCCCAACCCACTTCCCACGGTACCAGCTTCAAAGCCTGTGCCGTATTTTTTAAATCTTGCTGCAAAACCCAATGAGCCACAGAGCCACAGAGGCAAGGTGATCATGGCAGGCTGAGTGCTCAAAGCATTGCACTTTCAGAACTCATTTCTTGTCGGGTTGCTACCTTATTCTCATAAGCATTTTAGGGTAAAACAGAAGAGGCAAGCAGCTCGGAGGAGAAATCAAGCATTCTCTCTTCTAGGGACCGCACACTTGTTTGTCAGCTGGTAAAATACTCAAAAAATGAGGCAGTCTCATCAGAAAACAGAGGGCTGCAGAAATAGAGATAGCCCTCATACTCTCAGCTTCCAGTACACCTCTCACCTCTGTGTTCCGGGCAGCTTCTGAGCACCCAGCCAACAGGAGAGCTGAGATCGGACTGGATGCAGACAGGAGTCAGCTGTTCTCCATACATCTTGTGCTTTCTGCTCCTTATTCTCATTTCTCTTTTCCTATGCTCTGAAGCTACATATTCACATTCTAACTAGAAAAATGCCTGCCATAGAGATGCTGCAGCTTCACAGTCCTGGGGTGATATCCCCAGGATCTGCTGGTAAGAACCTTTGCAATCAAATGGATTTAGATCCTCTCCTCTTTTCCCTAAAATCAAGATCAACTAGTTCCCAAAATCACCACTGACACTGCTTACTCTACATCCTTTCCCTTTTTATATTTTAAGTCACTTTGGTACAACAGTGACTTTTCAATAGAGATTCACATACACAGATCTATAAACCAGCATACTTTGAAACTCAGCTGTAGTTTAATTACTGGACCACTTAACACAGGAGATGAAAGGAGAGCACAATACAGACTCTTCATCTCTTCCAAAGGGCTAAGATATGTCAATTTGCTAATCTATCAACTACATTGGGAGCAAAGGTTCATGACCTCTAATCAATGAGTAACTACTTTTCATATCAGAAGAAAAAAAAAGCATCAGACAGACAACAGCTGTGGCTCTCGAACCAGAAAAATGAGAGACAATGATGAGGTGGAAACTCGGATAGGGCGAGCATCAGAAGGGCAGGCAGAGGAGAGCTGTTTGAGGAGAAGATTCCTTGCTATATGGAGAGCAACAGGGGCCATCTCACACTGGGGACCGCTGACCCCAGCAGATAGGCACAAGGCAGTGGGGTGAAGCAGAGCCAGGCCCTAAGAAAGGGCCCAGGCTCTCCTGCAGGCTTCGCTGACAACAGAACCAGCTCCACCTTTATCAGAAAAGCTTCTGCCAAGGCATAGAGCTTGGTGCTGACCATAAAGCCTGTCTGAGGAGCTGAGTAAATACTCAGGCCCTGAGTCTGTGCTAAATCCTCACCTGCCATGGCTGAGCTGCTCCAGAGCCCAGTGAGCTTGCTCACTGGGAGCTGAGGACATGAGGGCAATCACATCGTGACAACAATGCAAACATTGACTCTATATGGGAGAGGAAAGATTCAACAAATGGCCATGTTTACCTGCTGCTTTGCTCCATGGAAAGCAGAATGAACATAGCAGGGCTGGGGGAAATCACTGCAGGAGTGAGAGGGTGATAAGAGCATCTGGAGAGACAATGAAATACAGTTTCACTGAGAGACAGCTTTGTTCTTCCCCATAGTTAGGAAGAGCTGGACATACAAAGGCTAACTGTAGTTCAGATATCTAAAAAAAAAATCCAATTTTGCTATGGAAAAGTGGTATGCAGTAAGGCCTTATCTCTGCTTGAAGCTCTGCACTGAGCAATAGAGGCACACAGTCTTCCCAGGCTATCAGAAGCAAAGTCCTCCCCATGGGGATGGGCAGCCGCATACAGAGCCCAGCTCTGTCTTGACAGTGATGCCAGGGCCCCAGAGGAAGGTCAAAACTTGGCACCCATCAGTTGCATCCCTATTTCCAGTCTGGCACCTTGTGAGGCCAACACCAGCCTGTAGCCTCCATGCTTGCCTAGCACAGCACTAAGTCCATGCTTGCAGGAAGAGGAGGAAGGAAACCTCTCATGCAACTCAGAAGAGCTTGTTCAAGAAAAACTGCTTTCCACTGGATTTTTTTCCCCATATCCCTTCTTGTCAGCACAGGAAACTCAAGGCCAGAGACTACTGCCAGCATGCAAAACAACCTGGAGAGAGGGGGAAAGCAAGTGTGGTAGCTCAGCTCCACACTCAAGGAAGACAGTGAGCACAGAAAGGAAACACCAGCAGATTTTCAGCAAAGCTGAGTCAACTTGGGCTACATGACACCCTGGAAATCAAGCCCAGCAATGTTTTATCTTGACAGCATCCTCCACATCCCTGCAGCACCTTTAGTGTGAAGAGGACTAGAAAGTCCCTGGTTCTTTCTCTCTCAAGTACCAATAATTAATAACCACAACCTGGCAGATAAGCCAGCAATTCCCACTGGTTCTGATAAGAGGAGCTGACATCTCTCTAACCCCAGCCACCTCCATTGTTTTATTCTCTTTGCTTATTGATTCGTTTATGCACATAATGCAAATTGGCATTTAATAATTCAGCCGAGTTAATGGTGCTTAAATATTAAAAGACTTTTCTCTTTTAATTAGATGCAGCAAAATAGGCAACAAAGGAGTCCTAGAGAGATGCCATTTAAAATGCTCTTGTCCAAGTTCTTTGGCATTTTTTCTAGGGAATGGGAAAGAGTATTTCAGGGAAAATTTCTCCCACTCTCACTGGAAAGTAACCAACCCATAGCAGTGTTTTGGAGAATTTGATTAGTAAAATGAATTTATCTTAGTTAGTCCTTTGTTTTGTCCCCTTTCTGGTGATAAAGGCAGAAGGGAAAGAAAGGGGGGATAGAAGGCACTTTCCTATAAATACCACTACCGGCGGCAACATGCTGGGTAACAAAGTGCAGACACATGTAGAAGTATTCAGATGTGCCACTACAAGACCCACAGCCAGGTGAAAACATAGTTAAATGAAAGAAACACATACTGTGAATTGAAGAG